CGAATGTGTATTTCATAGACGCCAACACCCGTGGCGACGTCTGCTCCTGCAGCAGCGGCTCCTGCGGTGCCTTCTGCCCCAACCTCCACCAGCGATGACAGTCCGGACAGCCGCGCTGCTCCAGACGATGAGAACCTCGGCCTCACTGCCTACGCTCTCTACGACTACCAGGCCGGTGAGTGCTTCTATACAATACTATTATGTGTGTATATTATTTATGTAATGTTGAGATCTTACGATGAGTTTTGAACGACTCCGCTCATGGCCACGTTGCGGTGATTCAATGCTATTAATCCTATTATGTACGGTATATATCATTTATGTAATGTTGAGATCTTATGATGAGTTTTGAACTGCTCCGCTCATGGCCACGTTGCGGTGATTCAAATCGAACTGCGTGTGAATCACGCAGTGTGCATGTGTAAGCAATGTGGCCAATGAGAGATTTTTCGGAAACCTTTTCATTCCAATTTCCTTATATCTAAGATTTTTTTCAATACCGTCAAACGGGGTAATGAGGGACGGTTTTGAGCGTTTTTCATTAATAACTTCTTACCATGAAATATTTCATAAATGAGTTTGGGCTCATTTTAAAGGTCTTTGCAAGGGCCATCGTATAGACTTTAGGTTAATTACTTCTCATTCTTTGTTGTCCAGTGCTTAATTCTATCTACGACGTTCTATGCACAATTTTGTGATGACCGATGATGCATTAATTTTTCGTTAAGTGAAATTTTTTCACTGAGCGAGGTAAATGTAATCAATATTCTTTGTTGTTAGTTGATTTTTTTTTGTTAACTGGAGCCTTTGCTAACCAAGGTTCTACTGTAAATGCATTTTTAGGGGTGTCCCTTATTACCCCGTCTTGCGGAAATGGCCGCCATTTTTTTTAATGAGGTACGCAAATTCTGTCAATCACATTTTCAAGCCAACACCTGTGTGCAACTTTTTTGGAAGAAAAATTTATTAATACGACAATTTTTCTTTTGCTACAGACCTTAGCAGAGGTACTGTTCCAAAATCTCACTTTTCACACTTTTTTCAGGGATTTTTTAGAGGTAGTAAATGTATGATTTTTTAACACTTTCATCTTGTACTATTATTTCATTTTTTCTACCGTTTTTAAACAGGGTTGCCAGACGGTCATTTTTTTCGGACAAATTCCGTGATTTACTTTTTCTCAATTGCGTTGGCCAGCTAAAATTTGTGATGGGGGTACTTACAAATTAAATTTTAAAAACTACAAATAGAAAATAAATGGAAATTTTATAGCGGAACCTAGGTACAAATAAACTAGTATATTTTGAGTTATCGGCCTTTTTTGTTCTGGGATTTGGCCGATTTTAGGCAACCTGAATTATGTACCACTACGTCCTGGAGAAATACATTTTGTGGTACGCATATGTACCACTTCGGAGTCAACGTGTTAACTTGCTTTATGCTGCATAGATAGTAAAAATGTTGAATTTTACGCCACTACCTTTAGTTTTGCAGTATTCTGATTAGTTTAGCTGACACAACATTTCAACAAAACGTGGGAGGACTGTCTCTTATTACCTCGTTTGACGGTATCTTATGTACGTATGTTGATGTTGGTGTCCATGATACTTGTCTACTTTAGAACCTCACCATGTTCCTTAGCGTTGATGTATGAAGTTTGCACTATTCGATTACTTAAGCTTCCTAGCGTTGCTGGAAATTCATGCGACTTACGCGAGAAGGGGAAACACTTTATTTTTCAATACTTCATTTGAAATCATATTGCTTATAGATAAGCAATTGTGGACTAATTATATGAGTAGTTTTTAAACACGTCTTGTACATTTACTTTCAGCGGACTCTGATGAAATTTCCTTCGACCCTGACGACGTTATAACTCACATCGAACAGGTGAGCCAGCCATCTTGTTGATGCGAGTTTTTAAATTTTAAATGTGATGATACTTGCCAGGTGCTGTACTATCATAACTAATTTAATTACATGATAACGATTTTAATCCTGGACAAAGACACATCCATTGTTGTGAGCCATTACCTTTCAAGAGATTAGGCAGTTTGCAACTAGGGGGATCTTTGTTAACTCAACTTTTTTCTAACTTAGATTTTCGAGCAATGTTCTTTAATTAAAATGTCTTATTAAAGTGAATACCATTTTTCGTAAAGTAAATAAAAATTTTCTGTAACGAAGTAATTAGTAACAATTCCTGGCTTTTCAAAGGCAAAAATTTAATTAAGTGCTGACGATTTTCAGATCGACGAAGGCTGGTGGCGTGGCTGGTGTAACGGGCAGTACGGCCTCTTCCCCGCCAACTACGTTCAGGTCCACA